TCTGCCTCTCCACTTGCTCCTGCAAATCTTGGATCTGGGCCTTAAGGTCGCTGTTTTCAAAAGACAACTCTGCAACCTTGAGCTCGAAAGCTCTGGAAGCCTAGACAGAGCCTTCCATAGCTTGGATCTTTTTCAGCAACTCGCTTACATGGATGGTCATCTGAGACTGAGCACAACCCAGAGTAGCTAAGGTCAGAATGATCAAATAATGCAAGACAGAGAAGAAAACCAAAAAAATAAAAATATAATAAAACTTACAGAAGTAGCAGCAAAGAGGGCAGTGAATATGGATATCCTAAGGGGCATTGTAGAGGCCCGTTGAATATCACATTCTGGGAGAATGGAAATAATGACCTCTGCAGCTCGCTTCACATTATCGATCAAAGAGCTCATACCTGCCTCAACACTCACCCTTTTTTCACTCTTGCAGATTTTAGGGGGTTGCAGAGATGGCCCCTCAGTTGGACATGGAGGAATGGACCCCGACAGAATATGGAAAACCATTTCCAGAGCCCTGTCAACCTCGGCTGAAGAGGGTGAGGCCGGGACTAAACTGTGTTCAGGAGCCCCACCAGATGGAGACATCCTAGTCTTTTAAGAAGGAGGGGTTTGTGCGACCTTCAGGAAACTCAAGGGAGGTTGAGGAGTCATCTGAGGCAGCTGGCGAGAAGCGGGAGACGCCTCCAGCCTTGGCACTTTGGCTTGGGAAGCTGAGTCGCTCCTAGAATCGACCTCAACCTTACATTTATTCCCACTCTAATTTTTCTTCATCAAGAATAGTTTGGCCATGCGATCCTTTGTAGTGGGCTCAATTGAAGAAGAACTTGAGAACTCAAGGAAGAACGAACATGAAAAAAAAAAATAGAAAGAGGAGGCAAAGGTAAAAGAGCAAAGGACAAGATGGAAAGAGCATTACCTACTATCTCCTCGACGCTGATAACAAAAAGAGGGGATGGGTTCTCAAACCTCACTTCGGGAGGACTGAACCCAAGCTCTACAATAACCTGAGGCTTGATGTGCTCTGAATATCTTTCTGAGTCGCAGTTTGCCAAATTCCCTAAAACCTACTCATCTGCAACACTGAGTTCTGGTCTGATGCCTGAACAACGAAACCAGCGGAACAAGATCAGCAAAAAGAGACACTCAGGCCTATCCTAACTCGCTTAAGAAAAGACTTACCCAAGTTGTCAGGGGCAGACCAGCCCCAAGGAATTGGAAGAGTATCAGTCACGTAGGCGGGATTGAACTCCCAGTCTCTCCCCTACACGAAAAAGAAAAGTTTTTTCCAACCTTTGTGGGAGCTCGGAAGGTCAGAGATAAGAACCTTGGTTTTCACACATTTGGAAATATACAAAAAGCCATCAGAAGAAGTGTACTTGACATTGAAAAATCTCATGAGCAAAGATACAGTAGGGGCCCCAAGATTGTGTTTTTTGAAGAAAAAAAGGAGACTAACCAGTACACCAAAGAAGTTAGGAGAAAGCTGGACAAGACAGACATTAAAATGTTGCAAAACACTCTTGATAAAGGGATGCATAGCCATTCTCCAAATTGGCTAGGAAGAAGTATACCTTTCTAGGGATGAAAGAGTCATACAAGGTAAACATATCAGGGCTTCAGAATTGTACGCCTCGAGGAAAATCAAAACGAGCAGCTAGAACCTTCAAGTAAGAAGGAACGATGTCACTAGAACCCACGAGCTCGGAAGCCTTGGGAGTAGCACCTCCACCCTCAGCACTGTTGAAAATCCCTATGCCGCCCACCTTGGTTTTGCCCTTGCTAAGAGTTTTCAGAGCAGGGGAGGAGGGCAGAGGAGACTCCTCAGAACCTCCCCCAACGTCGAAAGGATCCACTCTAGGGAAACTATCAATTTCTTGCCCAACATCTCTCAGATCAGAGTCCTCCTCAACGGACCTATCCCTCATTAGAGAGATGGACGAACCCGTGGCTTCAGAGGAGGTAGACATAACTGGGCAAGAGTAAGGAAGCTTAAAAGACTTGTAAAGTGGGGGAACTTCGGAGAAAAACTCTTTGAGAGTTAGAAGGGCAAGACACCAACAACCAATAACGAAAATCCTAGCCGTGGAGTATCGATCCAGAAAGAGAGGGATTCGAGATAGGGAGAGATTTTGATTCCTAAAATAACAGAACCAAAAATTCCAAAAGTGCAATAACCACCTCAAATTAGAGGGATCCAGAATGAGGAACTGGGAAATGGATAAAAGACGTACCTAAACGAGAATCGACGATGGATTCAAGCTCGAGAACAAAGTTTGAAACCAAGCCACGCTAAGCCTTCAGGTCAAATTAAGAGAAATCGTCTCTTTGAGAAACCCTAAGTAAGATGGCAAGCTGGAAAAGACAAAATCACAAGAGAGTAAAGAATGAGAGCTAGAGAGAATTCGAAAGAGTGAGGAGGGAACCGTTAATCTAAGAGCATTTAAAGCTAACGGTGCAAGGGGTCTCGAATTGGGCAACGCGCGTGAGAAACGAGGAGATAAATGATTACTGGTAATTGTCAAAAAATTTGTCCACACGAACATCAAGGTCGCTAAACGGAGCTCCACTCTGCTTTGGTTTAAGTTCAACCCTTGTTTAAGCTTGCTCAAACCAAGAGTTGGGGGGCAACTAATGATACATGAATAAAGAATTTTTACTAAGTATGAGCTCGGGAAGCGAGGTCGGGTAATGAGCCCAGAGCTCTAAAGCCTAGGTCCCGAGCTCCTTTCCGATAAAAAATCAGAGGAGTCAAAGAAAGAACAGCTGGTCAACAAGAGGCGTCCATAGAACAGCAAATGGGCAGTGATCAAGGTATGAAACTCTTAACCACCCAAGATCTCTTTCTAAAATCAAGGAAAATTCAAAGGTTGAAGAGCAAGGATCTCACTGAAGATCTTTTAGTGATACAAATTGTGCTATAAATACTGTACATTGCCTCCTAGAGAGGCAAGAGAGAAAAATCAGAGATCATAAAAGAAACTCTGTAAATCAAATCCACCATGAATAAATATTAAAAGAACAAGAGTCTCAATTAAAAAGTGGACTACCCAAGCTTCCGAACTGGTGAACTACTATACTTTTATTGTGCAAATCACCCCAATCCCCAGTAATCCTAAACATAATCCCCACGAGTTTTATAGCTCAGATCTAAGTTGCCAAGCATAATCCATTCCCTCTACTCATCCACACCAATTTACACCATCAGATTCCAAGTGTTTTTGCTTTCTTGTTAATGATAGTTTAGAGAAGGCATAAAAATTCACACCCTTAATCAACTCGAAGTACATTAAACATTGTAATCCATTATGTTTTTAGCACCTCATTTTGCACTAGAACTCACCTTTAGGGAGAAAAAAAATCTAAGATCTTTTCTCCAGTATTGCATATATTTATTTTATCATTTTGAAAATTGCGTTCTCCATTGAGAAATTTCTCCAACTATCTTAACCATAAAATGTGAATGATTGCCATTTTATGAGCTTGTAAATCCCGTTAGAGTCCACGAATAAAGGGAAAAATAGGACTATAACTAGGCCGTTTTCTATTGTGATGAGGGTTGCTCACCGTTATATGACTTGGCTTTTCTGTCGCTCTTATATAGTGGTCAACCTAAAATGTAGTAATCCTGCCATATCAAAATGACTATCATCTAGACTAGAAGCTTCGCCAGAGGCAAGCAAGATGATGTTGCTCTGCTTCATAGACGAGACTCATTTCAAACTTCATTAACAAGCTCGTGTAGTCAACCTTATCTCTGAAGGGGTTTATACACTCCACTTGCTGTCTACTAAACGAGCATTAAAGCAAGGGAGAAAAGCCTTCAACTTATTGGCTTCCCTTTTCAGATATTTCATGCATTGAAAAAAGAAATTTTCACCATACTGTCAGTTGTGTTTCAAATATCAAGCAAAGTGATATTGTTCAAATAAATAGTAGGATGGCCCATACACCACGACCACCTGTGTTAAAAAAGGAAGAAAAGATTTGTGTTTTATTCCACATTGCATCTTTTTGTACATCTTGATAGATCTATATTAAGTTCCTCCTAGTTATGAGACCTGTTTCAAACTTGAAGGCATAGAAAATAGGCACTATGTGTCATGCTCTACAAAATTCATCAAAGCTTAGTTAGAAGTGTGAGGAGGTTTTGAAACAAGACATTGACAACCTGAAGAAAAATGCTGTAAGTTGTGTCTTCTAAGCATGTGTGAAGCATACTGCATCTCGATAAAGCATTTGTAGGTCATAAGGTATAGCAGAGTAGTGCACCAAATGGCATCTTTTTGCTTAATAATTGTTTAAAATGTATCCCAACATGCGAAACACCTTCAAATGCTTATTATTCAGATGTTTGAATATTAATAGAAAAGAAAACAATTCTTGCCCTACAGAATTAATATGGCAAATCAGTTAATACTCTGAATGTGTTCCTAACATGACCTGCAGTTAAGCCAGAAAGTATATATGTTCATGTATACCCAAGCTGTTAAGTTTTTGTTGAGGCCAGTTTTTATCTTCCTATGCAGGAACAATGCCTTTTAAGAGATCTCTGTTCAACAAACTGATACCAAATTATGGATAACCTCGTATTTCTTTCTTTCTTTGTCTATCTCAATCTCCCATCATCACCTCTGACGATGAGGACTTTTCACAGTATGAGATCACAAAAGTTATCATGAAAATAACTAATACTGAAGGTATGAGTTGAACAACAAAAATGATTCTGGGACACAAAACTAGAGTGAAAAATCATAATGTTATCGAGGGAAAAGAATTTTTTTAAAAAAAAATGCAAATTTAGCGTTCCGATTCTAGTTTGGATTATGATTTTGGTGCAGTATTGGAAAAAAAATAAAGCTCAAACCACACATTCAAAGAAAGAGGATGTAAATGAATTGGTGTATAAGATATCCAACCAAAATACAAACTATTTTCTTTGTTTATAACAGAAGAATGTCATATAACATTGGAATGTATAACATTAACTTTCAAAATTGACCTCAATAAAGGCCCAAAATCTTCCACCAAAGAGCTCCAGCTAATACCCATATCACAATGTTAATAAGAGCCATTACAATTCCCAGTTTAAAAACATCAGCAAGTTCTACATAACCAGCTGTCAAAAGAAAAACTTTCAATCAGTGCCAGAAAATTGAATTTCGATAAAGAAATGAGAACATTAGTGAATAATGACAAAATTGGTGATAGAAAAAGCAAGCAAAACTAACCAAGAAAATAGAGAAATCTAGAAACAGAGACAGTTTAATGACAGCATACATTGTGATGGAACATTGATATAAATGGAAACCAAGTTTAGAGGTTCAATGAAATTTACAATCAACCCAAAAACAATGTTCACAAAAGATAAATCTGGTAAACAAGTGTATTTATTTATAATAAATTTTGTCAACTACAACAGACATCATAGAAGATATCTATAGTCCTACATAACAGGTAGGCTGGTTGCCATATTTAAAGATTAGACACAGAAAATGCAAGATGCAAATGACCACTACCCCAGAAGGGTGGGTTTGTGGGGAGGGGAGAGAGAGAGAGAGAGAGCCGTGGGAGTAACTAAAGAAGTGGAAGACAATCTGAGAAGTGTTTATAACAACAAAAAATTTTAAGAAATTGTATTAACTTCTTTTGTCATCCTATAGTAAGTGATATAAGTTAAATAAGGCATAAGAAAAAGTTTAATAGAAAGGTGCCTTTGTTTTTTTTCTATCTAGTAAAGATTTAACATTGTTTGGTAATGGTTAGTTATTCTCATGCATCCTACTTGAAAGCAAAAGGAAATGGGTGTAGGGATGCCTCAACCATATGAATCAAGCTTGATTGGCCCTTGATACAAGATCTCTTTATGCCATCACTCATGTGCGACCCAGACTTACACATGGGCTACCAAAGTCCGACAACAGAAAGAGTTAGACAATCAAATCAGAAAATACAAATGGATATAAGCATTGACTCATTCGCTGCAGCCAAGATCCATCTCTTTTACGAAGTTAGAGACGGCCAACCTTACAGTAGTTTAAATTGGGCAAAGAGACCCATCAATCATATAAATCAATCTTGGGTGGTCTAGACTGTCAATGTGGAATAAAAGCTATCTTCACACTTTGATTTCATATGTATAAAACGTCCCAAATTTTTAGGAGACCATAGTTTCTGATAACTATGAATGAGTATTTGTTTCAGATTTAATTGCATAGGTTATTTTAAAATCAAATATGTCACCGCAGATACTCCATAAATATCAAAAAATATGAAATTCACATGAATAACAACAAAGTAAACGAGACAAACATAAGAGAAAAAGATTTTCCATGAAGAAGGAAAAGAGTGTACCTCCATAGTATACAGCAGCCTGACCACTGCTATAATGTGTTAGTGCACCAAAAAGATTGGTATTGTATCCCAAAGCCAGCGCTGCCAACAAACCGGGCACTTTAGATGCCAAGTGCATTGAAAGAAATGTCGAGTATAGAGCTCCAACATGGGCAGTTTGACTTGCAAATAGATAGTGGATAAAGAAATATGCTGCCTGAAGGATACCAAATGAGGCATGCCAGCCCAGTGATAAAGATTTAAGCAATTTGGCCACACAATCAGACATCCAGGGTACAATACCAAGGGTGTTCAATTGGCTTGCCATGCCCACAAGTACCCCAAACCAAACCAAGGTATCCCATGCAGACTTTTCACTTAAGCAATCATCCCAATCAAGTACTCCTAATAGCAGTAGTACTGATAAGCCCAGCAGTGCTGCAACAACACTTGTCATATGCAGAGCATCTCTGCACACAGATCAACTTCTTTCAGAATTCTAGGACAAGAAAATAATATTTAAACAACGGAGACATAACCAGCATTTATAATAGGAGAACAAATTTTCAAGACATCGACTTTGTCACCTATACGTCACAAATAAGATTAGGAATATCAAAGACCAATAATTCTAACTCCTCTTTAACAGATACATAGGATTTATTAATAGAAGGGAATAATACTAAGAAGATTTGTCAAAAGAAAAAGAAAGGGAAAGGAAACTAAAAGATATGTAAGCAACCACAAAAAAACTACAACCCATGAAGCTATTGGATGAGTTGATTGGCCACCGAACCAGAGGTTAGCAGCAGTGAAACCAAGTTCATTCCTTATATGCTCAGATTGGAAAGCAAGATATTACCAGCATCTGAATAAAACTTTTAGAATTGGCTGTTTTAAGATACTATCTAAGATAAGACAAACATAAAAAAGACATCACAATCCTTTCGACTCTCTGTATTCCCTATTTAATCAAGACTGAATTGAAAGAAAAAATTACGTAGGGCAATTTTTGCTTTTGAGTGAGACCTTCTTCCCAGAAGGCAATTCACTAGTGCTCTTAGAGGCAGGCCTTTTCAAACCAAAGATGAAACATGAAGTTGGTTAATAAAAAAATCATATAAGTTGATCGATGGCCAAACAGGTCAACCACATCAGCGATCTTATAATGAGAAGTAAGGTGGAAATATCCAAGAAATCCTTAGTGTGGTAGAACTAGAGAGGATAATAAACATCAGCTCACAATGCCAAAATTACCTTATCTCTGGATTTAACAGCTTAAAATACAATGGAGAAACAAGTCAACTTTACTTTGCATCACTTGCTCCCTTATCGACAGATTGAGCTACTAGATTTAACTTAGAATGGCTATACAAATATTGTTCACTTAGCAACTTAGTTAAGTCTAACAATTGTATGTTATGCAGAGGATGGCAAAGCAAGGTTTGAGTAGTTAACTTCGATTAATGAGAAGGTAAATAGATTTGATCGTCAAAAAGATAAGCAAATTACATATAGTTAAAAAAAAAAACATGCGTACCCTGAAATCCATAATGCCACTGTAACAAGCATGGTACCAATCATCACCCATTCATCCCTTTTGACAGGACCCATCTGCTCTAGTTTCCTCTTGGCCATGGCAGGAGCATCAGGTGTGTTCTTGGTTTTAGGAGGAAAGATCTTGTATAAGATAATTGGGGTTGCTAGAAGAGATATACATGTAGGCAAACTAGCAAACTTGAGCCAGGTAGCCCATCGATTTGGAATTTTAACCCCAACTCCCTCAGCTAATTTGACACACAGTAGGTTTTGAGCGGCAGCAGTCAAGAAAAGATTACCTGCGCTACTAGCAGACTGACATGCATCAACAAGTGAAATGTATCAATCACAATGATATTATTACCAAGATGTCAGGGTAAATTACCTTAAACAAAACACATTATCTGAAAAATCAATTAGACTTGTGATATAATTGGACCAGTGAGTATATATTATAGCCTGTACGTAATAAAAACATAGGATAATTGTCTGGTTGATCAATGAGCAGGAATAAGACTCAAGACTGTTTATGTGGCTCTACTTTCTTCATTAAAACTTTTTTTTTTTAATCAAATCACTTCTACTTAAAAGCAGAAGTGAAGCGGCCTCCATATAACCCACACACACACACCCCCTAAGGCTCCTTAGTTGTTCATTAAAATTGAACAACTATGATTATCAAGGAAGTGTGTTCCTTCTTACTCTGACTTTGCACATCCCATGGAGTTTGAATTGCGATGTTATCTTAATGTATGTACATAACTTCATACAAAAATTTATTAGTGTGAATGGGTCAACATTAATTGTTAAAAATAGTTTAAAAGACTTAAAAGAGTAGTTTTCTAGTTTAAAGAGCATGCAGTTCTCTTTCATAAAAGACTTGGGGGTGATTATAAAAGACTTGGGGGGTGTTTGGATGGTCAATCAGGATTGGATAGGATTTCATTTTTATATCCTATCTCATCCAATCCAAACCCATTTAGCCACTTACATTAGATGGGTTATGTGTTAGATCCAATCTAACCTATCGTTTGGTTAGTAACATTGAAATTTTGTGGGACCCATTGATTATGCCATTGCTTTAGTGGTTTTTTACCATTTTACCCATAGACAAATCCAATCCAAAATATTGGCCAATATTAACTAATCTTCGCAACAAAACTACTATACAAAATATATATTAATGTACATTATTGTCATCATCAAATTTATACAGCGTAATTAAAAAAACATTGGTATTTTTACATCATAAAACCCATAATTAAACAACATCCAAAATTATTTTATAGACTATTGACCAACCATATAATTAATGCACAATATCTAAATACATTCTCCCAAAGTTGCGATATAAAAGACCAATATAAAAATAAAAAAAAAGTTCAAGCATGTTACATTATCTAAAGTCATAACTAAAGTAGAAGTCTTCATCCTTAAGAAGCTTAGTTGGTGATAATCTTGTATTAGGAGAAATCTTGAGTGACCTGGTATATTTGATGAGAAGAAATAACCGGCTAATCCCCTTTTTTTTGTATACAAGATCCATTGATTTGCATAAAAGTTGCTGCTGGCTTTTATCCTTGGAGCAAAAATGCTTTGAAAATCTTGCGTGAGATGCACTCTTCTAGCTAAGTGGAAATCATTCCAGTCAAGATATATCTTCAGTTTTTGATCAACAACCCCTTCCAATTAATTTCCACCAAAACCGTGACCATCTCAACCATAATCTTTGAATCCGATTCAATACAAATCCTATAATCATAGAGAGAAAAATCCTAAATAAACATCTGATCTTTGTCAACTGGGTAATTTTCAAATGGATCTCTAGTGAACCGAACAATGGAAGAGGGGAGAGAGAGACCTTCCATTTCCAAAAAATAGAACGAACTCATTCCCGGCAATCGACCTCATCAACTGAAAGCACCCATATCAACTAAAGGAAAAAAACCCCACTCCACAATCACTGTAAACACCTATATAAACCGAAGCAAAAAAACCAAAAAAAGCTAGCATAGCACAAAAAAAAAACCAATATAATGGTGATTTTTTTCCCATAAAATTACCTCAAAAACTATTCATTCAAGTGTCGAAGTTCGACCACCCTCCTCCATAGTCGTCGCTGCTCGAGAAAGTGGGGAGAGTTTAGAAAAAGGTTGCTGGCCAGGTTTAACTGTAAACAAGGGCATACTAGTAATTGGGCAGCATATCCAGTTGACTGGTGTTTTAACCCACGCATGAGGTGGTGTTTGTTTGACGGGATCGAAGGGGGTTTAATGTGGGATTAGATTAAAATAGTGAAATGACCCACTTATCCTTGGTTTGGTTGAAATAATTGAAAAGGGCTCCTCGTGGAATTGAAAAACTCGGCCGTAGGTTTTGAAGTCAAGAATCCCATCTGCAGGTGATTCAACTTTCCCTTCTGCTGTGAGGGATTGTTGAATTGAGAAATAGGATTAAATGGCTAAAATCTAAAATACCCTCCATAGTAAAATATACTCTACGCATTTTTACCTCCATTCCCCTTCCCTTTCACTTTCACACTGGTCCCCCTTCTCCATAGAAGTAGCACTGTTGACCAGATCTGTCCATGGAAGTAGCAGATCTGGCCTTGGAAGTGCTCGATCTGCTGATGGACGATGGTGATGCTAGATTTGTTGATGCTCGAACTGTTGATGGACCATATCTATCCATTGAAGTGCTCGATTTGGCCATGGAAGTAGCTTCTATGCATCCATTTGTTCTCTCTCTCTCTCTCTGTATTTGTCTTTGTCCCTTGCAAAAGGCGAACCATTTGGAAAGATGAGGATTTTAACAAACTTAAAATCCACTTATTACGGTAGTTGTTTGGTTTATTTGTATTTTCCCCCTCATTATTAAAAAATTAGCACATAACTCTCTTTTAGAATGAAAGCTCGTGATTTCAAAGTAAGTATGTGAAAATATTCAGTGTACCTCAACTTTGAATAAAATGGTTTGGGCTTCATTAAAAAATAATAATTGTTTTGTGGTGTTGCGTTTCATTACATTTTAAAATTTTAAGATCTTAAAAAGTTGTTGCTCATCCATTTGTTTATGTGTACAAGAAATTTACATTTGTATTAAAGCAACATATTTTAAATTGACATGATGTGCACTAGTGATTCATGCAATATTATTAAAATGCCCTACCAATTTGGATAATAAATTGCATTTTGGTCATTGAAAATATTTAATATGGTTCGGATTAATTTTGCTATTTATTGAAAATAAACAATAAATTTTTATTTTTAAACACACCACTTCGAATTTTCTATAAATAAACAAATAACGACTTAGACTTGAGTTGTATCGATAAGTCTATTATTTTTGTGTTGGAATTTTTTTTTTCCATGATGCATATGGTTTTTGTAATTAAAAGTGTATTGGACAAATTAAATTAAATAAATGAACAAAATATTTATTGCAATATTTTGTAAAAATGTGTAATTTATTCATTCATATTTTTTGTCGTAAAAATATCAATACTAATGGATTAGACCTTTTTTTTTTAATTCCATTCCAAATATGGTATAAGTTTGGATCACATTATTTTACATAAGGGTGAAATGACCATTTTAGTTTGTTTTATCTTCACAAATTAATAGAGCCCACAAAATAAATTAAACCTATCCAAAGTTGGGATATGATTTGAATCCCATCTTTATAATCATCAAATCCGAATCACTTTGCATTAGGTTGGATTGGATTGGGATTCAAATCCAATCCTTCCACGATGATCCAAACACCACCAGAATGGGTTACAGATATCCTAATCAGAAGGGATTTGGGCTCCATTTACTACGACCGATTATTTCAAACTCAACAAATATCCCACCCAAATTTGCATATCTGAACAAGAGATATGTGGGCCCCCATATTATTTTATCCAATCCAACTTCTTTTATCCCACTTTATCCCTCAAACCAAACACCCCCTCGGAGAATACACGTTGATATTACCGACTTTTACGAATCATACTCAAAATTCCAAAAAATAATAAATTCTACCCAAAAATAATAAACTAATCAAACTAAAAGATGATAAGGAAACTCAAAATAATTAGCAAAATAAAAAAAATTGGTAAATTACACAAAAAAATGGTATAAATATCCAATAAGTGAGAGGGTACCAAAAACATTTTTCTAGTCAAACCCGCATCATAATAGCATGAATGTAGGAGCAGGTGTCTCTTTCATAAACGACTTTAGCATATCAGTATTATTAAAACCAGATCAGATTGGCTGATTTGGCCCGTAGAACCGTAAATTGAGACCCAAAATGGCCTGACTCTGTAATTAGACCACTGAAATGCCGCTATATCGATTTTGGACCAAACCTGTAAGAGGGTTTGAATTTTAGGGACTCAAAATAAATAGACATTTACCCTAAATCGAATATCACTCAAGCGACTACCCACCACTTCTTTTCGCGTGTGGCTTGTGGATTTGAAGAGAAGGCGGCGAGAGAGGCGAGAGTCTCTGAGACTCAAAGAGGAGGAGGCGCTAGGGATCAATCGAGTGAGAAGAAGAAACAAAGGAGAGTCTCTGTCAGAGGAGGAGGAGGAGGAGGATGGTTTCTCTTCGGATTTTATAATTTTTTATTATACAATCCAGTTAACTCGATAGTCAAATCAGTGAGTCCTTGATCCGATCTTTTTACCGGTTCCAAGACGGATCCGATTAAAAACAAGTTTAGGCTTCTTGGTTTTGTCTTTTCATTCCATCTTATCAAAGATTCGTTTCCTTCTTCGTGGGGTCAGTGAAAAAGCTTCCGACTCTCCTTCGCCTCTCTCTTACCGGTAGTTCCCTCCAATTCGTCTTCGTTTCCGATCTCTCTCTCTTAGGCATTATGTGTACGTACACATCACGTAAGTCAACAATGGAAATAGGATAGTTAAGAACTTAAGACCATATAAATGGGTCTACTAAAATTAACAGTGAATTTGAACAGAATTAACGAGTTAAATTGACAAAATAATTAATTTAAGAATTAAATTAACGCAAATGATATAATTTAACGGTTGGAATGTGAAAAAATTAATCTCTAAATGCATAAATTGATAATTCTAAAATCTTATGGGGAGCAAAGTGTCATTTGCCCTAAACAAAAAGTGATAGAATAGAATAATGCTGACCTGCAACTGAGACTGGATTAGATAAGCCCCAAGCTTCCTGGCCGATTTATCCTTCGGCCAGCTTTCAGCCGACTGCGACAATGACTTAATGATCGGCAAAAAAATCCCACCTGCCCTCGCCGTCGAGCTAGGCACCGCCGGAGAAATCAACGCCTCACCCAACACCAACCCATACGACAACCCCAGTGTACTTTTTCCAAGCCATCGCACAAAGGACAGTGCAATCCTATCGCCAAGCCCCGTCTTCACAACCCCTCTGGAGAAAAAGAACGAAGCGATGATCAGCCAAATGATCTCATTGGTGAACGCCGAGAACGCGGCGGCGAATTTTAAGGTTTTAGTGATGACGGTGAGAGTGAGACAAACGATGGTCCACGCGCCGGCTGGTAATGGGCTGAATATAAGGCCGGTGATTGTGGTGAGGAAGATTGCGAGGAGTTGCCAGGCTTGATTCGAGACTTGGTGTGGTTTTGGGATTGCGAATCGGAGAATTAGTCCGACGAAGACGGAGATTCCGAGTGGGATGGGTTTGACGCCTTTCCATGGAGGCAAACGGAGAAGGCGATTGGAGGTGACGGATTGGAGCGGAACGTGGTGGTCCGGTGAGGGAAGAATTTGGTGGTCCGGTGAAGGGGGATGTGCCAGTTTAATGGAGTTGTCGGTGGATATGGGGGTGGGGTTTAAGAGATGAGTGGTGGATGGGGAATGTACGGTGAGAACTGTGTATGGATAGGTGGCCGGAGATTGAGAGGGAAATGGGGATGGTGGTGGAGGCGGTGGTGGTGGTGTGGTGAAAGTAGAGGTTTCAGTGGATTTACGCACCGTTGGTGGAGGCGGTGGTGTGGTGAAAGTAGAGGTTTCAGTGGAGTTACGCACCGTTGGTGGAGGCGGTGGTGGTGTGGTGGAACAAGAGGTTTCAGTGGAGTTACGCACCGTTGGTGGAGGCGGTGGTGGTGGTGGTGTGGTGGAACAAGAGATTTCAGTGGAGTTATGCACCGTTGGTGGAGGCGGTGATGGTGGTGTAGTGGAAAAAGAGGTCTCATTGGAGGTCCGCATCGTTGAAAACTTGAAAGGTGGGGGTTCCATTTTTGAATGAATAGGTTTTTAGACAGAGGCGGGGAAAGTGACTACAACGACTAGAATACAACGACCAGCGTCATAGGTGTCGTGGTATTTACACTCTAATAAAAATTTTAAATAATTAATTATCATATAATTTGAGTTTTAAATTTAATCAATCTAATATTTTATAATAGTAATAGAGAAAGAGTAATATTACATTAACTTAAAAATTAGACTTGATAATCTCAACTATTGAATAGATAATGGATTCAATAAATACATAAACTCACAATAAAATTAATGATTAAAATTATCAAATCTAATTTTTAAGTTTATTTTTTAATTTCATATAACATTATGAGTAAGGAAAATTATACAATGTAAATAGTTATAATTTAGTCATGGTAATATGCCAAAAGTATAAAACTAAAGAGTCTCGCTACACTACAATGGCCGGCCTAGGCTTTGTCATTGAGTTGCCAAGGTAGGCCCTTCGCATGAAACAAATACTAATGGCGCCAAAAGTATCCTAAATGGTCAATTTTATTGAAATAAAAGATAAGAGAGAACCAACGGAGAGTAGGTTGTGTAGTAATGTTATTTTCAAGGCCTAAAAATATGAAAAATATCTTATTTATATTGCCTTTATATTTATGTTAACTCTGTAGATGATGATAATTTAAAAAACATGGATACTTTGGTCTAAGTGATGTATTCGATACATATTGAACAACGATTCTCGTTAAATACTTACAAATATTTGTGGAATACGCCTCAAATACATATATATCCACAACAGATATATTCATTGTGGGTTGTGTAGAAAACACAAATCATACAAATGAGGGATTGTTTGATAACTGTTTTTGTCTTGTGTTTTATATTTTTGTTTTTAATTTTTGTCAAAAATAAAAATAAAAATATGTTTGAGTACTGTTTTTGTTTTTATTTTATATTAATTGTTTGGAAACAAAGATAAAAAAATGGAAACAAAAAATTTGTGTTCCAGGAAACATGTGAAACACAAAACATGCGGGGGGGGGGGGGGGTTGGGATAAATGAGGTCTCACCTTTGAGTCCTGTTAGCCACAAAATACTACTTCATATGAGAGAGTATAAATATGGGGTCTTCTTTGTCTCAGCCCCTCTCTTCTCTTCTCTGTCTCAGCACCACTCACAGATTGACAAAGAAGGCTTACCTCAAGAAGAAGGGACTTCCACTAACAGATTGATGAAAAAGAAGTTTCCTTTCGCTGTGAAGGTAAGAATAATCCGTTTGCTTGTATAGATCTATGTATATATATAAATAGATCTATATAGATTTACACATCACAGACTCTAATTGATTTTTATTTTATTTTATCTGTATTTTGTTCACCACAATATACATAGATCTGTATATTTGTATGTAGATCAGTAATTTTTTTTTATTCAACCACACTCTTCCATGTTCTTGTTTGGTTCATTCGTCTCTTCCTCTAAAACGCCTATCGACTTTGTAATCGCCTTTGCTTGTGATGAGACTTCAATTTCTTCGATTCAAGCTAATATTCAGGTCTAAACTTCAAAACTCATATTGAATTTGTTGGATTTTATGTCTATTATTCATTCAAATTTGCTGAAAAAAATTTATGTGCTAGTTATGTATTAGTAAGCTTAGAGGCACATTGATTAACTATTGTATGTGAACAATGTGAACTGATTTTGAGCTTTATTTATTATTTGGATGAGTGGGTAGGTTAGTTTTTGGTGTTCTTATTTGGAATGACTTGCGTATAACAAAAAGATATAGGTAAAAAAATAAGGCTGTTATTCCAACAAAATAAAATAGAATTTTGGTTATTGAATTTGTGGCTTAAACCCCATGATTTTGCGCTCTTTCCATACAAAGTCTTTTTTGTCTTGTAAATTCATTTTTTTCCTATTTAGATAGAGGGCTTCAAGTTCTTAGGAAGAGCCAATTACTGAATTGCTTCCCAATGGTATGTTCCGGGTTCGTTTCAATAGTTGATTTTGAGAATCAACCAACCCACAAATCTGTCCATAAAGACACCATGTACGATGGATTTCACTGCACCACACTATCAACACTATATCCTATTTCTTCACACTAGGATAGGGGCGATGCTTGATTTATAAGTGTGAACCTGGATCTCATTTTATCATATAAACAGTTATAGAGCACGTGATTTTCTTCCATTTTTTTCCTTCTGATGCATTGTGATATATGTATCCATCCCACTTGCAACCAACACATATACCAAGGTATAATTCTAGCCTAGAAGACCATATTATTCAAAATGGTCAAAAGAATTCTGCTCCTTTGAAGAAGTCAAAATAATAGGCTACTAATATAAGCTCTCATTTACTAAGCATGAATAAAAATCATATGCTCTGGTGTACTAAGGATAGAAATGATAATTTTATGAAATTTGTAAGATTTTATGAACTCTTTCTTTTGTGAAATTGATTGTAAGCTATAATTTGCAGGCTTACAAAATCTTGGTAGAATTTGATTCTAAGGTGCTGGTGGACAATGTATTGGGTTTCTATGGATTATTCTACTCTTTTGCAGTTGCCCTGTGCTATGAAATTGACTTTACTTCAGGATATGGAATAGCTACCTGTGCTCAGGTGCAAGAAGGCTATGGTGTTTGATGATAAGGGTTGAGGGACTGCATTGCCTAATCTATTTTTTTTGCTGCTGTGAAGAGTGATGTTGTTCTGCTATATTGGGAATGATTATGGGTTGTATGAGGCTGATGCCTGGCTGCAATGAAGCTGTCTGTGCTGATATACTGGACTGAAAATAGTTATTGTCTGGTTGCAATGAAGGTGCCTTTTGAGCATTTTGAAGGAGTAAAGCCTTGTAAATGAATTTTTTGAGTTGGATTGTAAAATTCTTGAAATTATTTGCTTCTTGTAATATTTTGATTCTTTCTATAAATTCCACTTTTTCCAAAAAAAAAATGTGTATAGGGAGGCAAATTTCATGGCTGATTTTTTTGCAAATCTGACTTTGCAAGATTGGTACTCTGTTGAAGGTCTTTAATTCATGGTAGTAAATCATTTTTCATGAAATAAAGTATTGATTTGTTTGAAAACAAAAAATTAGATATTATAAATCATATTTAGGATAAAATTTGAAATAGTTACCAAACATGTTTTTTGTTTTTATACTCATAATTTGATAGACAAAAATGACTCTCAAACATATTTTCTGTTTCAGTGTTTACCACAAAATAGAGATAAAAATTATCTTTGTTTTTTATTTTTTTAAAGACGCGAAAACAAAAACGTTATCAAACGACTCTTGAGTATTCCTTGTTCTAAAATGTTCATTTATATTCTGTTCGGATTATGCATACAACCTTCCTTTACAGTTATCCATTCAAAAGCCGACACCTCACCTTAATTGAGTCATAGTTTCACAATTATGAATCACACAACTCATCACCTGATTCTTCTCATTCTTACACATACACTAACCCTTTGATCCCACAACGCCACCGCTGCACCATTACTCTTCTTGCACACTTTCTTCTCCATATGCAAATCCACAACGAAACCCTCTTTCATGGTCAATTTTGTTTTTATTATCATTAAATAAATTGATGAACCCTTGCTAAAACCTACTTAGGTGCAATCCACCATTTGACACAAAGAAATTCAAAATGATTCATTTTCAAATCACTCATATTTCCCATTAGAAGTTCAAAGTCATATTGAATAAACACAATTTGTGGAGAATGCTTTGCATTCAATTCACAGTATATTTTTTTGTCAAAATGATCACAAAAAACTGATTACCCAGTTAGAGGGAGGGAAGAATGATGGTGGTGGGAAACTATAGAGGGGTGTATATATGCGTACGAGAATGCCTCCATGTATGTGTGAGAGAGACAAAGGTGGAGGAGGAGAGAGGGAGGACCGCGGTGAGGCGAGGCGTACAATGGTGGGTGACTTGTAAGCCCTTGAGAGAGAACAAATAGAGGAGTCGAATCAAAGGGGGTATTATTTGGTAAAATTGAGGTGTCAGCTTTTGAATGAATAACTGTAAAGGAGAGGTTGTCTGAGTAATTTAAACTCATCCTAGGATTTTTCAATTATTTACGACTTGTTTCACCCAAATGATGACTTTTTATGATTTACGTAAAAGTTAATGAAGTTTATTATAATTAAATACAAAGAAAAAATTAAGAAATTTTATGTGGTGAAGCGTGTTTAGTTTTAGAATTGCTAAAATATTAGATTCAAAACATCATCAAGCACTTTCTATGTCGCCAAAATAAATTATTTTAGTTTAGGATGTATTTTATCTTGTAATCCCTATATATTTTATCTCTTAATCCCTATTGATGATGCACAAAAGTGTTCTCGTGCAAGATCAATAGTCGAGTATATGAATGAGTGTAATTAATGAGCAATAAATAAGATAATCAATGGCAAAACAGTAAATAAGAGCAAACACGCAGATTTATAGTGATTCGGTCCGAGTGACTTACTCCACTCTCGGGAATAATAGCGGTGACCGGAGATCTTTATTAATGAATAAAAGTCACCGGGAGAGTACACTTCAAAAGGATTACAATAGTTAGAAGAGAGAAACAATGTATGGGGGGATCTCAAATTATAAAGGTCTCAAGGTCATGTTCTCTATATGGAGAGGGTTTACATTATATAGGTATGGAGAGGTAATAAGGTGCTGATGTGAGGGAGAGGGCTCTACTATTCTAGTAAGTACAATTAAAGTAGGATTAGATCTCCATGAACGTATATCCCGATATTCTCTCTCACGTGCTTCTATCCCTTCGGGCTTCCTAGATCCTGAGCTGAGTCGGACTAGGTCAGAGTGGCAAAGTGAGGAGGGAGACCACAGAGGCGGCGCCCATATGAGGAAGATAGAGTATGGAGAGACAGGAGGGTCCATGGGCGGCGCCAAGGGCTTGGGTGACTCTTTTTGGGCGCTAGTGACTTGGGTCTTTTTGATCAAT